GTTGCTTCATAGCTCGTATTCCAGCGTGTTCCGGGTGGGGTTCCGGGTGTTCCGGATGGGGTTCCGGGTGTTCCGGGTAGGGTTCCGGGTGTTCCGGGTAGGGTTCCGGGTGTTCCGGGAGGGGTTCCGGGTGTTCCGGGTGGGGTTCCGGCTTTTACAGACACCCTTTATTCTGTGACCAACATGGCGGCTGTGACGTCATGTGCAAACGCTCTATTCATCACGAAACATGGGCAAATAGCCACATGAAGACGAGACCATTTGAGTTAAGAGTGCAAACAAAGTAGTTCAGTCTATTCGCTGAATTATTCGTGCTATCTAGGACAGCATCAAATAGACTGAATATACATATATAGTGAATGTTGTTATGTAGTGAATGCATGATTTATGAAGGATACTGCATGGACTATAAATCCCAGCTGAATAGATGATGTTTCACCAACATATCCTGAACACTGTCTTTCAATGGTTTGCTCACCTGGAAAAATATGAAGAAAAAAAACTTAATTGGGGCGGTCAATTAGCCATTCCGAAGTTGATGAGTGAACTGGGGACGAGTGTTAAAAAGTGCCCAATTAAGAAATGAACCAAATCACTAAAAAGACCACCTCAAAATTAGTAAGTATACAAAGTTTGAAGACGTGTACATGAATACCCTTCGAATAATAAGCTTTCGAAAATCCGATATTTACTATGAAATGTATTGCAATTTTTGTTTTTGGGACGCGCGTCCCAAAAACAATCTTTTAATCAGTAATTTCATGATTTTCGAAAGCTTATTATTCGAAGGGTATTCAAGTAGAGCTCTTCAAACTTTGTATACTTACTAATTTTTAGGTGGTCTTTTTAGTGATTTAGTTCATTTCTTAATTTGGGCACTTTTTAACACTCGTCCATAGTCCACTCATCAACTTTGGAATGGCTAATAGAGCGAGCTTACAGAAAGCAAGCAACGCTTTGACAACATGTACACCAATCCCCAATCTGGATGGCATGGAGAACAGTGGAATTTTCAAAACAAACGAGTTGGCAAATTAAAAGAGGCCAAAGATAGCCCAAACTTGAGTAGGGTCTTTGCTAGGTCTAAAGTTGGAGTTCGAGTCAATGACTCGACTCATTACAACACTGAACTACACTGCTTGAAAGTAACAGATAGCATTGATATTTATCATAAGATTACGCCTCACGCCAAGTTAATCTCTCGCAATTTTTTAACAAAACAATAATAAAAGCACATACACTTGCGTCCTGTTGCAAAAAACATTCAAGAAGACATATAAAAAAAGAAAAAGTATATATTAGTTCTGGAACAGGTAGGTTGTTCGAAATCTGCTTATCCTGGGTTAATGAAAAACGTCAGAGCAAACTTCCCATGCATGATCAGTAGCTTGTGTATAAACATGGAAATATTTTTACAGAAATATTGTCTGGATCAATGGAAGTCTTATTTTTGGAAGTTTTGAAAAGAAACCCAGACATGCTAACAGTGGTTTCTAGTCAAAACAAAAGATTACATTTTATCACAAGGTTAACGGTAATCGTGGTATGAACAACTGACTCCTGAATTTTTTAGTGAAGAACCTAGGTAAAGATCTTAAACTCTCGCATACGAGGGCTATACGGGTTTGTCAGTTTTTAACTGTTTAACTCTTATAATAACGTCTTATAATATCATCATCATATCATACAGTATCGTTTTCCAAGCAAAATAACCAGTATATATACTTACGCCCTTTTTGTCCACAATTTCCCAGTCAATATTTAAACTGAATGCAAATGACGCCAGTACCCTGGAAAATATATAATTCACAAAATTGTTATTACCGTAAAATGTTTTTTTAATACAATAACCTATTTTAGTTGTTCTGTGTACGTCTGGCGATATAAAAACCTGGTAAATTTAAAATCAACTTTTTTATTAAGCTTTCCTCCATGATGCATCTGACTAAATATATTCAACAAAATTGTAATGTACACACCTCAGTTCGCATTTTATCTGCACCCATCCTGGACTACGGATAAAAGACCAGGGGTAGAACCTACAAATGAAACAACACACAACTCATTCTTTTGCTCGTTCTTTAAAAAAGCTGTTTTCTATTTTCATGACAAACATCAAACTTGTTTCAGGCATGCAAATTAGTGCCGGGCATCAAACAGTGTCCGGCCAAATTTCAACTTTTGTTTGATCAAAGCTTTTTATGACCAAACATGTGACCGATCGATTTAGGCTGGTCAAATCTCCAATCTCAAAAAATAGTTTATTTAATACACATTCTATTAACGAAATTAATTAACCAACAAGAAAGCAATATAGACAGCACTTCTCCACTATTTCTTAAGCCGTAAGATTTAATTATAAATCTACATCACCTTCGTATATACATGGTAAGTAGATTGGTAGAAATTAAAGTTATTATATGTCAGTATAACTGGCCTGAACCATGATTTAATGGTAAATATACACTAAGTTTCAGATGCATTGCAGTGCGGACTGACATGAGCAGACAAAAAATACATCGTGCTATCAAATTTTCAAAACAAAATATGAAAAATTTTACTTTGTCTATTGTCCGGGAAAAATTGATATTAAGGTGGCTCCCTACAGTTATAGTCCAGTTTAAAACATTTATATAGCTCAGACGTAATCCTCGCGACTCGCGCGTGGAATCTTTGTGGTCCGGTAAAAATCTTGAAACAAGCCGCGGGAAGTTGTTTTTGTATTTTTATCTACAAAGAAAACGCCAGTTTTTTATTATAATCCTAAACTTTTCAACATTCGAACGGTACGTATTTTGTTAGCTAGTTTTTTACCTACCTTCTGTGTGTTTCTTTATATATTTAATACGTTTCAGTACTGTATTTCATAATAATGCTCACAATGTTCAACAACAGTGTCACGGACTGAAAATTATTATATTTTATACTGTCTTCAAGGCACTCCTGAACTATCACTGAAACTTACGTAAATCCTGTCATT